CTAATGTCTGACACAGATCAGCCCCCTACTGCAGCTTCTCACCCTGTGACTTGCTACAAAGTTACAATGTACAGTCTGATCACTGGGGGAGGAGACTGAGGAAATGCTTCCTCCCCCTTCTACAGTCCCCCCCCCCAGTGATCAGACTGTACATTGTAACTTTGTAGAAGGGGGAGGAAGCATTTCTTTAATCCCCCCTCCCCCAGTGTTAGACTGTACATTGTAACTTTGAGGAAATGAGTCAAAGTTAAAATGTACAGTCTGATCACTGGGGGAGGGAGACTGACTGAGGAAATGCCTCCTCCTCTTTCTACAAAGTTACAATGTATGGTCCAGGGGCGGACTGACAACTCATGGGGCCCCCGGGCAATAGGGGATCATGGGGCCCCTGTGTCCTTGCCCAAACTCAAAAAATCCTATGAAAAAGGTACCAGGGGCATCTCATGGGGCCCCCTACTGACCCCGGGCCCTCGGGCAGTGCCCGAGTTTCCAAATGGTCAGTCTGCCCCTGATATGGTCTGATCACTGGGGGATACTGAGGAAATGACTCCTCCTCCTTCTACAAAGTTACAATGCACAGTCTGATCGTTGAGGGAGGGGAGACTGAGGAAATGCCGCTCCTCCTCCTTCTACAAAATTACAATGTACAGTCTGATCACTGGGGGAGGGGAAATCGTAGAAGGGGGAGTAAGCATTTCCTCAGTCTCCCCTGCCCCAGTGATCAGACTGTACATTGTAACCTTTGTCCCATTTCCTCAAGGTTACAATGTACAGTCTGATCACTGGGGGAGGGGAGAATGAGGAAATACTTCCTCCTCCTTCTACAAAGTTACAATGTACAGTCTGATCATTGGGGGATCGGAGACTGAGGAAATGCTTACTCCCCCTTCTACGATTTCCCCTCCCCTAGTGATCAGACTGTACATTGCAACTTTGTAGAAGGAGGAGGAGGCATTTCCTCAGTCTCCCCTCCCCCAGGGATCAGACTGTACATTGTAACCTTTGTCCAATTTCCTCAAGGTTACAATGTACAGTCTGATCACTGGGGGAGGGGAGACTGAGGAAATGCCTCCTCCTCCTTCTAGTCAAAGTTACAATGTACAGTCTGATCACTGGGGGAGGGGAGAGACTGAGGAAATGCCTCCTCATGCCTGCAGCAGACTGATGACATCACCTGACACTAGGCTAAGTCACAAAGGTATCAGCGCTCACATCATCCTGTGACGTCAGTAAGTTGGACTCACCGTTTGTTTCTGCTCCTCGGAAAGCATATGGGGCTGAGATGGCCGATAGTGAGTCCTGCTGCTCGCCGCAGGAGGAGGAAAGGGATTTCCCTGGTTGGAGAATACCGCCATGCTGCAAACAAGAGGAGACAGACCTGTGACGTACAATGGAGGGATACACGGGAAGACGTCCCACTGAACGGACAATCATCGGTGTGAGGCCTCATTAATGGATCACCTGAGCCCTGATCTGAAATCATGAATCCTGACTGACCGCTTCTTCCAGTGTTCACACGCGGTTCACATGGCCTTCAGATGAGCCCAACAACAGTGCGTAGAGAGCTTCATGGAATGGGTTTCCATGGCCGAGCAGCTGCATCCAAGCCTTCCATCACCAAGTGCAATGCAAAGCGTCGGATGCCGTGGTGTAAAGCACGCCGCCACTGGACTCTAGAGCAGAGGAGCTGTGTTCTCTGGAGTGACCAATCACGATTCTCTGTCTGGCAATCTGATGGATGTGTCTGGGTTTGGCGGTTGCCAGGAGAACGGTACTTGCCTGACTGCATGTGCCAAGTGTAAAGTTTGGTGGGGGGGGGGATTATGGTGTGGGGTTGTTTTACAGGGGTTGGGCTTGGCCTCCTAGTTCCAGTAAAGGGAACTCTTAAGGCGACATTTTGGACAACTTTGTGGGAAGAGTTTGGGGATGGCCCCTTCCTGTTCCAACATGACTGCCCACCAGTGCACAAAGCAAGGTCCATAAAGACATGGAGGAGCCAGTTTGGGGTGGAGGAACTTGACTGTCCTGCACAGAGTCCTGACCTCAACCCCATAGAACACCTTTGGGATGAATTAGAGCGGAGACTGCGAGCCAGGCCTCCTCCCCCGACATCAGTGCCTGACCTGACAAATGTGCTTCTGGAAGAATGGTCCAACCTTCCATTAGACACCCTCCTAAACCTTGTGGACGGCCTTCCCAGAAGAGTTGAAGCTGTTATAGCTGCAAAGGGGGGGGCCAACTCAATATTGAACCCTACGGACTAAGACTGGGGGGGCATTAAAGGTCATGTGCGTGGAAAGGGCGGGGCCAACTCAATATTGAACCCTACGGACTAAGACTGGGTGGGCCATTAAAGGTCATGTGCGTGGAAAGGGCAGCCAACCAATACTTCTGGAAATAAAGTGTATATGCATGTGTGAACATAAACATCAGTGGCGTCAATGGAAAGAATAGTGGCCCATAGTGGGTATCGTTGGCGTCAGTGGGAGGAATAGTGGCCCATAGTGGGTATCCTTGGCGTCAGTGGGAGGAATAGTGGCCCATAGTGGGTATCCTTGGCGTCAGTGGGAGGAATAGTGGCCCATAGTGGGTATCGTTGGCGTCAGTGGGAGGAATTGTGGCCCATAGTGGGTATCGTTGGCGTCAGTGGGAGGAATAGTGGCCCATAGTGGGTATCGTTGGCGTCAGTGGGAGGAATAGTGGCCCATAGTGGGTATCCTTGGCGTCAGTGGGAGGAAATTGTGGCCCATAGTGGGTATCGTTGGCGTCAGTGGGAGGAATAGTGGCCCATAGTGGGTATCGTTGGCGTCAGTGGGAGGAATAGTGGCCCATAGTGGGTATCGTTGGCGTCAGTGGGAGGAATAGTGGCCCATAGTGGGTATCGTTGGCGTCAGTGGGAGGAATAGTGGCCCATAGTGGGTATCGTTGGCGTCAGTGGGAGCAATAGTGGCCCATAGTGGGTATCCTTGGCGTCAGTGGGAGCAATAGTGGCCCATAGTGGGTATCCTTGGCGTCAGTGGGAGGAATAGTGGCCCATAGTGGGTATCCTTGGCGTCAGTGGGAGGAATTGTGGCCCATAGTGGGTATCCTTGGCGTCAGTGGGAGGAATAGTGGCCCATAGTGGGTATCGTTGGCGTCAGTGGGAGGAATAGTGGCCCATAGTGGGTATCCTTGGCGTCAGTGGGAGGAATAGTGGCCCATAGTGGGTATCGTTGGCGTCAGTGGGAGGAATAGTGGCCCATAGTGGGTATCGTTGGCGTCAGTGGGAGGAATAGTGGCCCATAGTGGGTATCCTTGGCGTCAGTGGGAGGAATAGTGGCCCATAGTGGGTATCGTTGGCGTCAGTGGGAGGAATTGTGGCCCATAGTGGGTATCCTTGGCGTCAGTGGGAGGAATTGTGGCCCATAGTGGGTATCCTTGGCGTCAGTGGGAGGAATAGTGGCCCATAGTGGGTATCGTTGGCGTCAGTGGGAGGAATAGTGGCCCATAGTGGGTATCGTTGGCGTCAGTGGGAGGAATAGTGGCCCATAGTGGGTATCGTTGGCGTCAGTGGGAGGAATAGTGGCCCATAGTGGGTATCGTTGGCGTCAGTGGGAGGAATTGTGGCCCATAGTGGGTATCGTTGGCGTCAGTGGGAGGAATAGTGGCCCATAGTGGGTATCCTTGGCGTCAGTGGGAGGAATAGTGGCCCATAGTGGGTATCGTTGGCGTCAGTGGGAGGAATAGTGGCCCATAGTGGGTATCGTTGGCGTCAGTGGGAGGAATAGTGGCCCATAGTGGGTATCGTTGGCGTCAGTGGGAGGAATAGTGGCCCATAGTGGGTATCGTTGGCGTCAGTGGGAGCAATAGTGGCCCATAGTGGGTATCCTTGGCGTCAGTGGGAGCAATAGTGGCCCATAGTGGGTATCCTTGGCGTCAGTGGGAGGAATAGTGGCCCATAGTGGGTATCGTTGGCGTCAGTGGGAGGAATAGTGGCCCATAGTGGGTATCGTTGGCGTCAGTGGGAGGAATAGTGGCCCATAGTGGGTATCGTTGGCGTCAGTGGGAGGAATAGTGGCCCATAGTGGGTATCGTTGGCATCAGTGGGAGGAATAGTGGCCCATAGTGGGTATCCTTGGCGTCAGTGGGAGGAATAGTGGCCCATAGTGGGTATCCTTGGCGTCAGTGGGAGCAATAGTGGCCCATAGTGGGTATCGTTGGCATCAGTGGGAGGTATAGTGGCCCATAGTGGGTATCGTTGGCATCAGTGGGAGCAATAGTGGCCCATAGTGGGTATCGTTGGCGTCAGTGGGAGGAATAGTGGCCCATAGTTCAACCCTCTAGGTTGTCTGCTTTCAGAATATATCATGTTTGGGGGTTTTATGTAATCTTCAGGCCTAAAATTTTTTTTTTTTCTTCTTAAAGGGGAATACAAAACAATTTTTTTTAAACGTGTGCAAAACCGTCTTTGGCCAAAAAGATCAAGGAGCGCCAGTCCAACCTGAAGTCACACCAAACTGCTGGCAGCCATGAACTGTACACTGTTAATAAAGCTTTGCTGAGTTCATGCAACTTTTATTGATACGCTGTGACAGCCCCGCCCCCGCCCCCCCCCCCCCCCGAGTGATGATGGAAACAACGTTCATCAAACAAAGTGAGAAGGTGAAGAGCCTCTCCGCCGTGAATAGATGAGGATTAGAATTCCTGAAACAATGTGGAGGAAACACATCCAGCCTGGAAAATGCCGTATCGCTGACCGCCGCCTACAGCGCAGCCTGATGAATTATGGAGGAGGCGAAGCTCGGGTTCCAGTGTAGCCACAGAGCGCGCTTTGTTCTCACAAACACTGGGGGGCGCCGAGGAGAAGGAGGAAGGATGAAGACAGAGGATGACTACAACAGGACGAGGAGACACCAAATCCAGCGATTCGTGTCGGCAGTCTGTCTACACATTCTAGTCACACCGCTGCGATTTGGGGGCGATTTCTGACAACGATTTCTTGCAATTTGCTTGAGGAGCCGGGACACCTGTGCAAGAATGAAGGGGAGGAGCCCGGGACACCTGTGCAAGAATGAAGGGGAGGAGCCGGTGAAGGGGAGGACACCTGTGCAAGAATGAAGGGGAGGAGCCGGGACACCTGTGCAAGAATGAAGGGGAGGAGCCGGTACACCTGTGCAAGAATGAAGGGGAGGAGCCAGTACACCTGTGCAAGAATGAAGGGGAGGAGCCGGTACACCTGTGCAAGAACGAAGGGGAGGAGCCGGTACACCTGTGCAAGAATGAAGGGGAGGAGCTGGTACACCTGTGCAAGAATGAAGGGGAGGAGCTGGTACACCTGTGCAAGAACGAAGGGGAGGAGCCGGGACACCTGTGCAAGAATGAAGGGGAGGAGCTGAAGGGGTACACCTGTGCAAGAACTGAAGGGGAGGAGCCGGTACACCTGTGCAAGAATGAAGGGGAGGAGCCAGTACACCTGTGCAAGAATGAAGGGGGAGGAGCAGGTACACCTGTGCAAGACTGAAGGGGAGGAGCAGGTACACCTGTGCAAGAATGAAGGGGAGGAGCCGGTACACCTGTGCAAGAACGAAGGGGGGAGGTGAGGAGCCGGTACACCTGTGCAAGACTGAAGGGGAGGAGCGGGTACACCTGTGCAAGAATGAAGGGGGAGGAGCAGGTGCACCTGTGCTAGACTGAAAGGGAGGAGCCGGTACACCAGTGCAAGACTGAAGGGGAGGAGCCGTTACACCTGTGCAAGAGAACTGAAGGGGAGGAGCCGTTACACCTGTGCAAGACTGAAGGGGAGGGAGCCGGTACACCTGTGCAAGACTGAAGGGGAGGGAGCCGGTACACCTGTGCAAGACTGAAGGGGAGGAGCCGTTACACCTGTGCAAGACTGAAGGGGAGGAGCCGTTACACTTGTGCAAGACTGAAGGGGAGGAGGAGCCTGTACACCTGTGCAAGACTGAAGGGGAGGAGGAGCCGGTACACCTGTGCAAGAACTGAAGGGGGAGGAGTACACCGGTACGGTACACCAGTGCAAGACTGAAGGGGAGGAGCCGGTACACCTGTGCAAGACTGAAGGGGAGGAGCCGGAGGACACACCAGTGCAAGACCTGAAGGGGAGGAGCGTTACACCTGTGCAAGAACTGAAGGGGAGGAGCTGTGAATTACACCAGTGCAAGACTGAAGGGGAGGAGCCTGTACACCTGTGCAAGACTGAAGGGGGAGGAGCTGGTACACCTGTGCAAGACTGAGGAGCGGGGAGGAAGGGGAGGCCGGCCGGTACACCTGTGCAAGAATGTACAAAGACTGGGAGGAGCCGGTACACCTGTACAAGAATGAAGGGGGAGGAGCCGATACACCTGTGCAAGAATGAAGGGGAGGAGCCGGTACTCTTGCGCAAGACTGAAGGGGGAGGAGCCGGAACACCTGTGCAAGACTGAAAGACTGGGAGGAGCCAGAGGGAAAATTTAAACGACAAACCTGCTTTTCATCGTCCTGTGATTGGATATCGTCGATCCCTAAACCCGTCTTCTTCGTTTCTCCCAGAAAGCGGAAAATCCTGAAAGAAAACAAACAACCGATAAAGTAAAAGATCTCATCTCCGGGATCGGTACAAATATCTGCAACCAACAAAGGAAAGTCTGATGTACAAGTTCTCGGGGGGGGGGGGGGGGCCGCCGGGGGGGGGGCGATCTGCTCATGGATCCAGGTCATGGTATACCTAACAGTAGTACACAGACAGGAAGTGGTGGGAAATCCCTCAGACGGGGACACAGACAACAACACAGTGTTATCAGAGTGAAAAAGGATCGAATGCTCGATAATGTTCTTATCCCTGTCTGTTCCTTCCTGTGTGGGTGACAACCGGGTCACTAAGTTCTTGGACAGGTGTCACAGAGACAGGAAGTGGTGGGAAATCCTTCAGATGGGGACATAAAGAACACATTGTTATCAGAGTGGAAAAGGTTAAACCATCTGACTTATTCCTGTGTGGGTGGCAACCGGTTCACTAACTTCCTGTACGGGTGTCACTGAGACAGGAATTGGTTGGAAATCTCTCCAGTGGGGACACAAACAATAACACATTGTCCTTAGAATGGGTAACAGAACACTGTCTGTTTTCCTGTCCAGGTGACAACCGCATCCCCTATTTCCTGTATGGGTGTCACTGAGACAGGAAGTGGTGGGAAAACTCTCAGACGGAAACACAGACAATAACAGATTATTAGACTGAAAAAGGATAGAAATCCTGATGATGTTCTTATTCCTGTCTGTCCCTTCATGTGTTGTGACAACCGGTTTACTAACTTCCTGTACGGGTGTCACTGGGACAGGAAGTGATGGGGAATCTCTCCAATGGGGACACAGACATTTACACATACTGGCATGTTCTTATTACTGTGAGCCTCCCCCCCCTGTCCTGGTGACAACCACCTGACTTACTTCTCACTGGTACAGGAAGTGACAAGAAATCTCCCCAATGAGGACACAGACATTTACACATTGTTGGAGTGGTTAGAATATCTGGCATGTTCCTCTTCCTGTACTGGTGAGAACCACCTGACTTCTCACACAGTTGTCACCAGTACAGGAAGTGACAGGAAATCTCTCCAATGGGGACACAGACATTAACACATTGTTGTTGGAGTTGTTAGAATATCTGGCATGTTCCTCTTCCTGTCCTGGTGACAACCACCTGACTTACTCCCCATACAGGTGTCACCAGGACAGGAAGTGAAATATCTCAGAGTGGTTAGAATTTCTGGGACGTTCTTATTACTGTCTGCGTTTTCCTGTCCCAGTGACAGCTGATTCCCCTATTTCTCATAGTGGTGTCACCAGGACAGGAAGTGACAAGAAATCTCTTCTATGGGGACACAGATTGTTATTAAAGTGGAAAAGGGTTTAGAACGACTAACAATATTCTTACTCCGCTCTGTTTTGTGTCCTGTGTGGGTGACAACTGGTTCATTAACTTGCCCCATGGGTGTCACCGGGAGACAGGAAATCCCTCCAAACGGGGACACCGACTACAATAAGTCATTATTCAGGTGGTTAGAATATCTGAAACGTTCTTATTATGGTCTGCAACTTCCTGTCCTGGTGACAAGAAGCTCATACAGGGGTCACTGGGACAGGAAGTGGGGGGAAAATCTCCCTAATGGGGGTCACAGGTCATTTCACTCTTCCTCCTCTAAAAAAAAAAAACAGGAATAACGGTCTATATTCTAGCATATCCTGGAAAAGACAACTTTATTATCCCCATACAATGGACATTTACATCACACAGGTCAGTCACATGACCCCCATGCAGGGAGGAGAGGTCTCCGGTGACCATTGTTCTGGTATAAGCGGCTCAATGCCCGGTGACACCCCGTCCTCCCCATTACCAGTGTCGGTGTCCCGGCTCCTGGTGTGCCCGGTGCACTTCTCGTACTTCCCGCTCCCTCCGCCGCCCGTTTCCAGGCAACCACCATCCCGCACTGCACGATGGGTAACCCCGCCCCTTTCATTCTACCCTTCGGATAACTACTCCCATCAGTCTATTCGTGATTAACCCCGCCCCTTCCATTCTGCCACTGGATAATCCCGCCCTTTCCAGTCTACTATTGAATAACCCCGCCCCTTCCATTCTGCCACATTATAAATCCCGCCCTTTCCAGTCTACCATTGAATAACTCCGCCCCTTCCATTCTGCCACCGGATTATCCCGCCCCTTCCAGGCTACTCTTGAATAACCCCGCCCTTTCCACCCTGTCACTGGATAATCCCGCCCCTTCCAGTCTACTCGTGAATAACCCCGCCCCTTCCATTCGGGCACTGGATAATCCCGCCCCTTCCATGCTACATCCTATAGAGGCAACGTCATCACGCGCAGCGCCCGCCAGCCGACAACGATTGGCCGGCCGTAAGTGACTGGCGCGACGATAAGCCAATAGCTGGCCTCCCTTGTGAGCAAGGCAATCCAATGAGCAGGAGCGGGGCGGGGTCAGGAGAGGAGCGGGTTTTGAGGTGAGTTGAACCGGCGGTGGATCCCGGTGTGTGGAGGGGAAGGAAGGCCGGGCTCTGGTTATGATAACAGGCACACAGGAGGCCCGGCCTGCAGTGTAACACCCCCGGGCGTCTCATTGCTGTGTGTGCAGCCTGGGGTAATGAGACTCGGATTTCTGGGGCCGCAGTAATAAAATATTGTGTAACAGCCCCGCCTCCTGAATTAGCCCCTCCCCCACTGAATGAAGGCCCTTTTTCAGGCACTTCCTGTTATAGGGTGACAACACTCCGCACCTCAATTTGAAATGTGTGTTTCTGCGTTGTTACCCTATAACAGGAAGTGCCTGAACAAGAACCTTCATTTCAGGAGGCGACAACATCGGAGCACAATTGAGAGCCAGGGACAGAGCGTTGTCACCCTGGTGCTCCTGCCATGAAGGACCTAGTTCAGGCATTTCCTGTTATAGGTGACAATGCAGGAGCATGATCATCAGGGTGACAACGCAGGAGCATGATTAGGAGAAGGGGACAGAGCATTGTCACCCTTTAACAGGAATGGCGTGAACGAAGACCTTTATGGCAGGATCACCAGGGTGACAACACTCTCCCTGTCTCCAAATTGTGCTTCTGAGTTGTCACCCTGGTGATCCTGTCATGTAGGTCCTTGTTTGGGCACTTCCTGTTATTGAGTGACAACTCTCCATCCCTGTCTCCCGATTGTTTTCTTGTGTTGTCACCGCATGATCTTGCCATGAAGGTTTTTGTTCAGGCACTTCCTGTTATAGGGTGACAACGTAGGGGCACAATTCGAATTCAGGTGCAGAGCATTGTCACCCTGTAACAGGAAGTGCCTGAACAAGGACCTTCATGGCAAGATCACGGGGTGACAACGTAAGAACACAATCGTGAGCCCAGTACGGAGCGTTGTCACTCAGTAACAGGAAGTGCCCAAACAAGGACCTTCATAGCAGGATCGCCAGGGTGACAACGGAGGAGCATGATTGGGAGACAGGAAAGGCATGAACAAAGACCCTTTATGGCAGGATCACAGGGTGACAACACTCCCTGGTCTCCAAATTGTGCTCCTGAGTTGTCACCTTGATCCTGCCATAAAGGTCCTTGTTCGGGTACTTCCTGTTATAGGGTGACAATGCAGGAGCACAGCTAGAATTCAGGTGCAGAGTGTTGTCACCCTGTAACAGGAAGTGCCTGAACAAGGACTTTCATAGCCGGATCCCCAGGGTGACAACGCTCTGTCCATGTCTCCCACCTCTTAAAGGGGCAGCGACCTGCGGTTAAGGAATCCCTCCAGAGTGAAGCCCATTTTCACCTCCCAATCCAGTGATCTCTCCTCCCAGCCAATCCCACTTAATTAGGGATGAGCTCAGATCCCAGTTTCCCCCCCTTTACACACCCCCCCCCCCCTGAACTGCCCTGCAGATCGTAGGCCACACGGGCATTGTGTGCAGTCCCTTGTATACACCACCCCCCTCCCCTGTATATGTCCCCAGAACTGCCCTGCAGATCGTAGGCCACACGGGCATTGTGTGCAGTCCCTTGTATACACCACCCCCCTCCCCTGTATATGTCCCAGAACTGCCCTGCAGATCGTAGGCCACACGGGCATTGTGTGCAGTCCCTTGTATACACACCACCCCCCTCCCCTGTATATGTCCCTGAACTGCCCTGCAGATCGTGGGCCACACGGGCATTGTGTGCAGTCCCTTGTATACACACCACCCCCCTCCCCTGTATATGTCCCTGAACTGCCCTGCAGATCGTAGGCCACACGGGCATTGTGTGTGCAGTCCCTTGTATACACACCACCCCCCTCCCCTGTATATGTCTCCAGAACTGCCCTGCAGATCGTGGGCCACACGGGCATTGTGTGCAGTCCCTTGTATACACACCACCCCCTCCCCTGTATATGTCCCTGAACTGCCCTGCAGATCGTGGGCCACACGGGCATTGTGTGCAGTCCCTTGTATACACACCCCCCCTCCCCTGTATATGTCCCTGAACTGCCCTGCAGATCGTGGGCCACACGGGCATTGTGTGCAGTCCCTTGTATACACCCCCCCTCCCCTGTATATGTCCCTGAACTGCCCTGCAGATCGTGGGCCACACGGGCATTGTGTGCAGTCCCTTGTATACACACCACCCCCCTCCCCTGTATATGTCCAGTTGCAGAGTGGTGAATGCCTGACTGGTAGTTAGCAGTGACAGCTCGGGGGGGGTCAGACTATTATCCTCATCCCTACTCTTCATACTGTACTCAGGTGGGGAGGGGATTTATTAAAGGACACCTTCACTAATTTGTCGCATTGCATACCTGTGTTGGGGTACAAATGAGGGGCGCTGACGTCCGATCTGTATTACAGGTGACACCGATCCTTTCCGGGGCGATTCGTTCACACAAGTCACCCGCTGAGGGTCCGCACTGCAGCCGCCATGTCGCTCACAAAGGTGAAGGTGGAGAAAACAGGTGAGGGGGGCATATGGGGTTTATTCGGGGGGGGGGCGATTTTATCTGGAGTGCTGTGGGTTGTTTATCCGGGGGGAGAATGCAGGGTTGACACAGGCAGAATGTGGGGGGAGGACAGGTGTGAGAGCTGAAGGGGTTAACCACCTCCCGTCTGGCTGTTGTATATAAACGGCCAGACGGTGGTGCAGGGTCGGGCAGCCATTTGTAAACGGCCTCCCCACCTTCTGCTTGTGTGCGCTCCCTGGGAGCGTGCAGCACTGCGATCCGGTGCCCGCTGTGTCCTCCAGACACACTGGAACACCGATCGTTGGATGGGACTTCTCTGCGAGGTCCCGATCATGTGATCACGGATTGGCCAATCAGTGATCACATGCAGAGTAGTAAGCAAGATGTCACTTCTGACATCATTGCTTACTACGTGTGAAATCTGTGAATGATCACAGAGGTCACATGGTACAGGGCTATTCACAACAGCCTTGTACCATGTGACAAGCTGTGACCAATCACAGCTCACACAGTATTTCTCAATGGCTGCAGGAATGCCGCCAGAGAGAAACAGAAATGATTGTTTTTACAGCCTTTATGGGTGTAAAAGCAATCGGTGTAAAAAAAAAATTCTTCATCACCCCCCACAAGTAGTACAGTGTCACCATGGTGACACTGTCCTGCTAGGGTGACAGTATGTAAAAAAAAAAAACAAAAAAAAAAAAACCATAATATAAAATAAAAATAAAAATGTGAAAAAAAAGTTTAAAAATTATCATTTTTGGTTATAAACTAATTTTTGTTTTTTTTTTTACTAAAAAGATAACGGAATAAATTTTAACCAAGATTTATGATAAAATATTATTTATTTGCAAAATTTTATAAGAAAAAACACTTATTTTCAAAATTTTTGAACTTTTATTTATATAGCAAAAAAAAAAATCCCAGCGGTAAATAAATAACACCAAAATAAAGCTTTATCTGTCTCAAAAAAATTCATATGGGCCTACAGTGTTGCATGACCGCGCAATTGTCATTCAAAGTGTGACAGCGCTGAAAGCTGAAAATTGGCCTGGACTGGAAGGGGGGGAAAGTGTCCGGACTGGAAGGGGGGAATGTGTCCGGACTGGAAGGGGGGGAAAGTGTCCGGACTGGAAGGGGGTGAAAGCGTCCGGACTGGAAGGGGGGTGAAAGTGTCCGGACTGGAAGGGGGGGGAAAGCGTCCGGACTGGAAGGGGGGTGAAAGCATCCGGACTGGAAGGGGGGGAAAGTGTCCGGACTGGAAGGGGATGAAAGCGTCCGGACTGGAAGGGGGTGAAAGCGTCCGGACTGGAAGGGGGTGAAAGCGTCCGGACTGGAAGGGGGTGAAAGCGTCCGGACTGGAAGGGGGGGAAAGCGTCCGAACTGGAAGGGGGGTGAAAGCGTCCGGACTGGAAGGGGGGGAAAGTGTCCGGACTGGAAGGGGGGTGAAAGCGTCCGGACTGGAAGGGGGGTGAAAGCGTCCGGACTGGAAGGGGGGGAAAGCGTCCGGACTGGAAGGGGGGGAAAGCGTCCGGACTGGAAGGGGGGAAAGCGTCCGGACTGGAAGGGGGTGAGAGCGTTCCGGACTGGAAGGGGGGGGGAGAGCGTCCGGACTGGAAGGGGGGGAGAGCGTCCGGACTGGAAGGGGGGAAAGCGTCCGGACTGGAAGGGGGGAAAGCGTCCGGACTGGAAAAAAGCGTCCGGACTGGAAGGGGGTATAGGTGCCCGGTAGGCGAGGGGTTAAGAAAGTTTGGAGACCCCTGATCTAAAGCATCCGACTCCCTTCCGGGTGTGTCAGATATCTGAGACCCCCCTCCCCTGTAAAGTGGACCTGTGCTGCATTTCTGCAGGAATTGTGAGATTTTTACTTGTCTTTGTTTTGGTCAGACTTGGAGGCAGCCAACGCCCGGAACAAGCTGGAAGCCATCCTGCAGGGGCTCCTGGACAGGAGTGAGGCCGACAGGTCAGTCCTCTTAGCGGTCCTTCTGCTCCACTATGGAGAATTTCTCGTGTCGGTTGTCAGCCAGCGACTTCTCATAGAGGAACGTCTACCTGCAGGGGAAAGGGGGTGGGGCGTTATGGAAAGGGGTGGAGCTTCTTGCTTACGGGAGCTTTAAGAATGCAATAGCATGAGTGGGATGCCATTGCTTCATTTTGGAAAGGTGGGAGTCACTGAGGGATAGGAGAAACCAGGGGTGCCGTTCATCCATGAATGAGACTTGTATTCTCCCCCTTGTCAGAGCAAAAGCGATAGGCGGAGTGTCAGGTTATAAGGTCCCCAGAGGCTGTCCTATCTTCTGCCTGAGCTCATAGCTAATGACAGGTGGTCAGGCCTTCCAAAGGTTATCCTACTTCCTGGCTGAGCTCACAGCTGGTGATAGGTTGTCAGGTCCACAAGGCCATCTTATCTCCAACCTGAGCTCATAGCTGGTGATAGGTTGTCTAGTCCACAAGGCCATCTTATCTCCTACCGGAGCTCATAGTTGGTGAAAGGTTGTAAGGTCCCCACAGAAGACAACCTATCTCCTACCTGAGCTCATAGCTTGTGATAGGTTGTCAGATCCACAAGGCCATCTTATCTCCTGCCTGAGCTCATAACTGGTGATAAGATGGCCTTGTGGACCTGACAACCTATCTCCTGCCTGAGATTCTAGTTGATGACAGGTTGAAAAGCCCCATAGAGGCTGTCCTATCTCCTGCTTGGTCTCATAGTTGTTGGAAGATTGTAAGGTCCCCACAGAAGACAACCATTCTCCTGCCTGAGCTCACTGCTGGTGATAGGTTGTCAGGTCCACAAGGCCATCTTATCTCCTGCCTGGGCTTCTAGCGGACGACAGGTTGTAAAGCCCCAAAGAGGCTGCCCTATCTCCTGCCTGAGCTCATAGTTGATGGAGAATTGTAGGGTCTTTCCCCACAGAAGATAACCTATCTCCTGCCTGAGCTCATGAGTTGATGGAGAATTGTAGGGTCCCCACAGAAGACAACCTATCTTCTCCCTGAGCTCATAGTTGGTGGAAGATTGTAACGTCCCCACAGAAGGCAACCTATCTCCTACCTGAGCTCATAGCTGGTGATAAGATGGCCTTGTGGACCTGACAACCTATCTCCTGCCTGAGTTTCTAGTTGATGACAGGTTGAAAAGCCCCATAGAGGCTGTCCTATCCCCTACTTGGTCTCATAGTTGTTGGAAGATTGTAAGGTCCCCACAGAAGACAACCATTCTCCTGCCTGAGCTCACTGCTGGTGATAGGTTGTCAGGTCCACAAGGCCATCTTATCTCCTGCCTGGGCTTCTAGCGGACGACAGGTTGTAAAGCCCAAAGAGGCTGCCCTATCTCCTGCCTGAGCTCATAGTTGATGGAGAATTGTAGGGTCCCCACAGAAGATAAACCTATCTCCTGCCTGAGCTCATAGTTGATGGAGAATTGTAGGGTCCCCACAGAAGACAACCTATCTTCTCCCTGAGCTCATAGTTGGTGGAAGAGTGGTAACGTCCCCACAGAAGGCAACCTATCTCCTACCTGAGCTCATAGCTGGTGATAAGATGGCCTTGTGGACCTGACAACCTATCTCCTGCCTGAGTTTCTAGTTGATGACAGGTTGAAAAGCCCCATAGAGGCTGTCCTATCCCCTACTTGGTCTCATAGTTGTTGGAAGATTGTAAGGTCCCCACAGAAGACAACCATTCTCCTGCCTGAGCTCATAGCTGGTGATAGGTTGTCAGGTTCACAAGGCCATCTTATCTCCTGCCTGGGCTTCTAGCGGACGACAGGTTGTAAAGCTCCAAAGAGGCTGTCCTATCTCCTGCCTGAGCTCATAGTTGATGGAGAATTGTAAGATCCCCACAGAAGACAAGAAGATCCTATTGGGTACAATCACCAGTGCCCATCTCATTGAGGGTATAGGAGGTGCAGGTCCTATTGGGTACAATCACCAGTGCCCATCTGATTGAGGGTATAGGAGGTGCAGGTCCTATTGGGTACAATCACCAGTGCCCATCTGATTGAGGGTATAGGAGGTGCAGGTCCTATTGGGTACAATCACCAGTGCCCATCTGATAGAGAGTATAGGAGGTGCAGGTCCTATTGGGTACAATCACCAGTGCCCATCTCATTTAGGGTATAGGAGGTGCAGGTCCTATTGGGTACAATCACCAGTGCCCATCTGATAGAGGGTATAGGAGGTGCAGGTCCTATTGGGTACAATCACCAGTGCCCATCTGAGGGTATAGGAGGTGCAGGTCCTAATGGGTGCAAATGCCAGTGCCCATCTGATTGAGGGTATAGGAGGTGCAGGTCCTATTGGGTACAATCACCAGTGCCCATCTGATTGAGGGTATAGGAGGTGCAGGTCCTATTGGGTACAATCACCAGTGCCCATCTGATAGAGGGTATAGGAGGTGCAGGCCCTATTGGGTACAATCACCAGTGCCCATCTGATTGAGGGTATAGGAGGTGCAGGTCCTATTGGGTACAATCACCAGTGCCCATCTGATAGAGGGTATAGGAGGTGCAGGTCCTATTGGGTACAATCACCAGTGCCCATCTGATTGAGGGTATAGGAGGTGCAGGTCCTATTGGGTACAATCACCAGTGCCCATCTGATAGAGGGTATAGGAGGTGCAGGTCCTATTGGGTACAATCACCAGTGCCCATCTGAGGGTATAGGAGGTGCAGGTCCTAATGGGTGCAATCACCAGTGCCCATCTGATTGAGGGTATAGGAGGTGCAGGTCCTATTGGGTACAATCACCAGTGCCCATGTTATTATTGGACGCTCTTGGCCAACCTCACGCCGCGGTGTTCTATAACTCTGTGTCTTCTCTCTCCAGGGAACAGATGGAAGATGATGGCGGAAAGGCTTCGGCAGACCCCCATAGCAAGTAAGGCTCCTTTTCTCCACCTAAGCCGGGAATCAAACCCTTTAGAAACACGGGCGTCAAACCGGCGGCCCTCCAGCAGTTGCAAAACTACAAGTCCCATGAGGCACTGCAAGATTGACAGTTACAAGCATGACTCCCAAAGGCAGAGGCATGATGGGACTTGTAATTTCGCAAGTCATACTTGGAACTGTAAGTCTTGCAATGCCTCATGGGACTTGTAGTTTGGCAACAGCTGGAGGGCCGCCAGTTTGACGCCCGTTCTGTAGAAGATCTGCGTCGGATGATATCGGAGGTCGCACAGGCTGATGACATCACTCACGCCTTCGTATGACGTATTGCCTGTGAAGACTGAGCTCTGCAGGCACTTTTGCAGCAGTTTGTTTTCTTATCCCGGGTCACAATCCTGCGCAATGTCCCCTTTTTTCGGTCAGTTGACCATGTCAGCCACGCTTATGCTCATCAGACGGCGTTTCCCGGAAACTATAACGCTGCCATAACCTTTTATACTGGACCTCGAGATACCATCTTTCTCGGTCTACCTGACCTTGGCTTGGTATCAAGAGATCCACGTCTTAATAGGTGATTGAACAGCACTGATTGGCATATTCAAGGCTTTGGACATCTTTTTTATGTCCTTTTCCATCTTTATAAAGTTCCATTGCCTTGTTACTCAGGACTTTTGACAGTTCTTTTCAGATCCCCATGGCTCAGTATCTAGCCTAGTCAGTGCTTCCACATAAGAGCTAACAAACTCATTGATTATTTATACACTGACACTAATTGCAATTTAAAAAGCCACAGATGTGGGACATTAACCTCTAATTGGCATTGTAACCCGTGTGTCCCCTTGTGTGTCTGTATCAAGGACGAACATTCCAGGGGGCGGAGACTTCTGATCCGGGGGGGCGGAGACTTCTGATCCGGGGGGGCGGAGACTTCTGATCCGGGGGGGCGGAGACTTCTGATCCGGGGGGGCGGAGACTTCTGATCCGGGGGGGGCGGAGACTTCTGATCCGGGGGGGCGGAGACTTCTGATCCGGGGGGGCGGAGACTTCTGATCCGGGGGGCGGAGACTTCTGATCCGGGGGGAGGAGACTTCTGATCCGAGGGGGGGGACGACTTCTGATCCGGGGGGGACGACTTCTGATCCGGGGGGGCGAGAGACTTCTGATCCGGGGGGCGGAGACTTCTGATCCGGGGGAGGAGACTTCTGATCCGAGGGGGGGGGAGACTTCTGATCCGGGGGGGGAGACTTCTGATCCGGGGGGGCGGAGACTTCTGATCTGGGGGGGGCGGAGACATCTGATTCGGGGGGGGGCCGAGACTTCTGATCCGGGGGGGAGGAGACTTCTGATCCGAGGGGGGGGGGAGACTTCTGATCCGAGGGGAAGGGGAGACTTCTGATCCGGGGGGGGGAGACTTCTGATCCGGGGGGGGACGGAGACTTCTGATCCGGGGGGGACGGAGACCTCTGATTCGGGGGGGACGGAGATTTCTGATTCGGGGGGGCGGAGACTTCTGATTCGGGGTGGCGGAGATTTCTGATTCGGGGGGGCGGAGATTTCTGATTCGGGGGGGGCGGAGATTTCTGATTCGGGGGGGGCGGAGACTTCTGATTCGGGGGGGGCGGAGACTTCTGATTCGGGGGGGCGGAGACTTCTGATTCAGGGGGGGCGGAGATTTCTGATCCGGGGGGGTGGAGACTTTCCGGGCCATTTCGGTGACCTGTTATGATTTAAAAAGTAGCCAAACAACGATTTTGATAATAAATGGCTTCATACGATCATCATCATTCAATAAAAGAGCATTTTTTTGGCATGATCAGTCATATTTTAAGTATCAATGCCAAAATTTCACAATTTATGCCAGGGTATGCAAATTTTTGAGCACAAATAAATATATATATTTATAATTTTTTTTTTATTATTATTAAATTGTTTTAATTTTTTTTTACACTGTGTAAGTTCAGGCTGAGATCTCAGGATGGGGAGTAAATTCTCAGATCAGCAATACACAGTAGTTCCAGTTTGAACCAGAATCTCCCAGCTGATAACCACCATTGTCCTAACTGTGTTCCTCTTTTTATGATTTCAGAGACTCTTCTCCATCTGCAGCTGGAAAAAGGTAAAATTTTTTTTTTTTTTTTGCTTCAACTTCCTTCTTTCACTATTAAAATTAACCCTGTGGGTGAAATCTTAAAAACATAATAACAGGGATGGTATTGCGCTCAGTCTCTCCCCTGTACATCCTCCAATGTTTCAGTTCTCACTTCCTCGTGACCTGGCCCCTCTGAGATATCATCACTACTTTCCATGAAGCTGGCCCTGTTCCCTTGTTCCACCTCCCACAACTCGCTACTGGCCCTGTGTTATGTACACCCATGCATGGGTGTACCAAAATGGCGTCCGCCGGATATGTCTCCACGCTCCGTATGCCGTTCCAACGCGTTGCGTCACAAATCACGTGACTTCCTCAGGGATAGCTGGGCACGTTTGTTTTCCGGGCATTTCACTTTTAATATTGGAGGTCACTTTCTCATAATTTAATATTATTAGGTTTTTCTGTAACAATACGGGGGAGATATTTAGGACTTTCTGGTCCCACCGTTAGTGGTGTTATTGCACGCAGTCTGTGCACTAGCCGTTTGGGTCACAATTTTGACGCCACCACTTGGGCATCTGGGAGTTCACCGTTTTCACTTCACAGCCTTCCGCTTTAAGGACGGCTTGAAACCATTCATGTATTGTGCTCTAAATATATAACTGACCCTTTTCCCTCGGTCAGCACTTTTCTTCGTTTTTTCTTTTTGCACATATTTTGTCTTCCACTAATCTTTTTTTAGGCACCATTTTGAGGTCAACATTCAGACATCTGGGAGCTCACGTACATCCTATGTTTAAAAGGAAGTTTTTCAATTATGCACATTTCATATTGCAGGTAATACAATACCGACCTTCTCCCTGGTCAGCATGTTTCTCTTTCTTTTTCCCTCTCTGTTCTACTATTCACTATATATGTGTGATACCGATTTGTACCATTATAACCACTGCCGGGTTACATCGTGGATTATGGTGTAACCACTTCCAGTCCGGACACTTCCCCCCCTTCCAGTCCGGACGCTTTCCCCCCCCCCCCCTTCCAGTCCGGACGCTTTCCCCCCCCCCCTTCCCTTCCAGTCCGGACGCTTTCCCCCCCCCCCCCCTTCCAGTCCGGAACGCTTTCCCCCCCTTCCCCTTCCAGTCCGGACGCTTCCCCCCCCCCCCCCCCCTTCCAGTCCGGACGCTTTCCCCCCCCCCCTTCCAGTCCGGACGCTTTCCCCCCCCCCTTCCAGTCCGGACGCTTTCCCCCCCCCCCCTTCCAGTCCGGACGCTTTTTTCCCCCCCCCCCCCCCCTTCCAGTCCGGACGCTTTCCCCCCCCCCCCCCCTTCCAGTCCGGACGCTTTCCCCCCCCCCCCCCCCCCCCCCGTTCCAGTCCGGACGCTTCCCCCCCCCCCCCCCCCGTTCCAGTCCGGACGCTTCCCCCCCCCCCCCCCGTTCCAGTCCGGACGCTTCCCCCCCCCCCCCCCCCCCCCCCGTTCCAGTCCGGACGCTTCTCCCCCCCCCCCCCCACCCCCCCCGTTCCAGTCCGGACGCTTTCCCCCCGCCCCCACATACTTTTCCCCCCCCCGTTCCAGTCCGGACGCTTTTTTTCCCCCCCCCCCCCCCCGTTCCAGTCCGGACGCTTTCCCCACCCCCCTTCCAGTCCGGACGCTTTCCCCCCCCCCCTTCCAGTCCGGACGCTTTTCCCCCCCCCTTCCAGTCCGGACGCTTCCCCCCCCCTTCCAGTCCGGACGCTTTTCCCCCCCCCTTCCAGTCCGGACTTTTCCCCCCCCCCCTTCCAGTCCGGACGCTTTCCCCCCCCTTCCAGTCCGGACGCTTTTTTCCCCCCCCTTCCAGTCCGGACGCTTTTCCCCCCCCTTCCAGTCCGGACGCTTTTTATTTACCTTTTTTTTTGTTTAACATACTGTCACCCCTAGCAGTAGTGTCACCATAGTGATACTGTACTACTTGTGGGCAGTGATGGAGTTTTTTTTTTTTCTACACTGATTGCTTTTTTACAGACTTTATGGGTGTAAAAGCAATCATTTCTCCTTCTCTCTGGTTGCATTCTTGCAGCCACTGAGAAATACTGTGTGAGCTGTTTGGTCACAGCTTGTCACATGGTACAAGGCTGTTGTGAATAGCCCTGTACCATGTGACCTCTGTGATCATTCACAGATTTCACTAGTAGTAAGCAATGATGTTTCAGAAGTGACACCACTTGGTTTTCCTTCTGGGTTTTCGGGATTCAGCTGTACTACTTGAATGGCTTTCCATGAAGCTGGCCTTGTTCCCTTGTTCTACACCTCCCACAACTCACTACTGGCCCTGCGTTATGATGGGCAGCTTAACCACTTCCAGTCCGGTCACTTTCCCCCCCCTTCCAGTCCGGTCACTTTCCCCCCCCCTTCCATTTGTAACCTCTGTGATCATTCACAGTTTCACCTGATTTCCCCACAGACTTGTCAATGGTACAAGGCTGTTGTCACTTTCATTCCCCCCCTTCCAGTCCGGACACTTTCCCCCCCTTCCAGTCCGGACACTTTCCCCCCCCTTCCAGTCCGGACACTTTCCCCCCCCCTTCCAGTCCGGACACTTTCCACCCCCCCTTCCAGTCCGGACACTTTCCCCCCCCCTTCCACCCCCACTTTCCCCCCCCCCTTCCAGTCCGGACACTTTTCCCCCCCCCCTTCCAGTCCGGACACTTCCCCCCCCCTTCCAGTCCGGACACTTTCCCCCCCCTTCCAGTCCGGACACTTTCCCCCCCCTTCCAGTCCGGACACTTTCCCCCCCCTTCCAGTCCGGACACTTTCCCCCCCCTTCCAGTCCGGACACTTCCCCCCTTCCAGTCCGGACACTTTCCCCCCCTTCCTGTCCAGGCCAATTTTCAGCTTTCAGCGCCGTCACACTTTGAATGACAATTGCGCGGTTCATGCAACACTGCACCCATATGAATTTTTTAGCAATTTTTTTGAGACAGATAAAGCTTTATTTTGGTGGTTTTTATTCACCACTGGGATTTGTCACATGGTACAAGGCTGTTGTGAATGGCCCTGTACCATGTGACCTCTGTGATCATTCACAGATTTCACTAGTAGTAAGCAATGATGTCAGGAAGTGACATCACCCGGTTTTCCTTCTGGGTTTGCGGGATTCAGCTGCATGAACGGCTGAGCCGCGATGGCGTCACAGCCACGGCGCAGAGCCCTGAAGGAACGGCACGGGTATGCTATTCCTTCAGTGCCCATGCGCCGGTGACGGCACAAAGGTAAATCTCTCCCAATCGGTGCAATATAGGAGACCTTTACTGTACCTATAGGATTACCTGTAGGTAGAGATCAAAGAAGTGGCTTTACTACCACTGTAGGTTAGTCCCCGTCCTCCCAGCATCATATACTTACCTTTTTATATCACTCTCCAAGAGCTCGTGATATCTGTGTGTAAGCTCTGGATTCATAACTCGCAGAGGGATATGGACTCCCCAGACACTAATCAGTCCAGGATTGGATCACGCTCCTCCATACCTGGAAGTAGGGGGGTGATCCTTTTGGCTCTCGGCACTGAACACGGTGGCCAGTGAGCAAAGGAAAAGTAAGCCCAGGCTATGGAGGAGTGAGGGATTACAGGAGACCCACTGCTGTGCCCCCATCTAGTGAACCCTAATAACTGATAGCTGATCTTTAAGATTTGTTTGATTGCAACTCTCTGTATATCTTTTTCTCGTTCTGTTAGGCCACCAGCACGCCTGTCCCACCATCGGCGAAAGAAGAGAAAAGAGGAAGATGGCATCGCTGAAACGGACAGCCCAAAACAAGTAAGAGTGACACCAGAGCGATGGACGGTCAGCAGGGGCGGGGCTTCTCACTGAAGGAAGGGCATTTGTGCGTCTTCAGCCTCCTGTCCCCCTGTGCTTTGTAGGGGAGTGACTCTTCTGCTGTTCAGTTTAAAGCGGAGCGCCACCCAAAAGGGGAAGTTCTGCTTTAAGGTCTGCTCCCCCTCCCCATTAAGGATTGGCACCTTTGGGGGACGGAAGCGGGTTCCCAAATTTGACAGGTACCCGCTCCCACTTCTGGTCCGATCACCTAGGCAATTGGAAACGGAAGGTGTCCTCCCTCCCTATAGTTTTTTTGGGACACATGACAGGTTCCAGAAGACTATGGGACCATTCATGAAGCGCAGCGCTACTCGCGCATGCGCAGTGGGTACCCGGCTGTGAAGCCGCAAGCTATCACAGCCGGGTGCCCACTCTGAAGATGGAATACAGGACGGCCGGTGAAACGGGCTGTGGGGGACACACCATGGGACCGAGGGACAGGTAAGTTTCCGGCATCTCAAGTGTGGGCACCAGGCTGTTACAGCTTGTGGTTTCACAGCCTGGTGCCCACTGCACATGTGCGAGTCGCGCTGCGCCTCCTGATTGGTCCGGCAGTCTTCTGGGACCTGTGAAAGTTCCCAGGAGACTGTGGAAGGGAGGAGGAGGCCGAACTTCCAGCTCACTTTGCCGCAGCAAAGTGAGACGGAAGTGGGAGCAGGTACCTGTCAAAAAAAACAGGTATCCGCTCCCCCCCCCAAAAAAGTGCCAAAGTGCAGTGGAGGGGGGAGGCAGCAAATAAGCAGAGCTGCCACTTTCGCCGTGGCGAAGTGAGACGGAAGTGGGAGAGGGTACCTGTCAAAAAACAGGTATCCACTCCCCCCCAAAAAAGTGCCAAAGTGCAGTGGAGGGGGGGGGGAGGAGGCGAGGAAGCAAATAAGCAGAGCTGACACTTTCGCTGCGGCGAAGTGAAACAGAAGTGGGAGCGGCCGCCTGTCAAAAACGGGTATCTACTCTCTTCCCCCAAAAAGTGCCAAAGTGCAGTGGAGGGGGGGAGGGGGCAAATAAGCGGAGCTTCCACTCTTTAGATGAACTCCGCAAGCAGAAAGCAGTGAGATAGCACTGAGCCAGTAGGAGCTTCCTCTAGTGCAGGGTTGTCAAGCTATTTCATCGCGGGCCGCATGGGCATTATGGTTGCCCTTTTTATGTCACAGTGCGCCCCCCCCCCCCCCCCCTTACCATGTGCTACTGCCTGGGAGAAGCCGGGGAGCACAGTTACGTAGTTAGTCTGGCTAAAAAAAAAACAAAAGTCCATCCAGTTCAACCAAAAAAAAAAAAAAAGATAATCCTACACCCACAGATGATCCAGAGGAAGGCAAAGAAAAACCCAACAAAGCACGATCCAATTTGCTCCTGCAGGGAAAAAAAATTCCTTCCTGATCCCCAGCAGAAATTGCAGGATCTGAAGGAGGTCCAGAGTTTGCTGAATGCTGAGACCAGGGCAGGCAGAGAAAATGGGGTGCTGCAGCTGCACAGAGGCGCAGGATCTGTAGGAGGAGTTCTGTCCTCCTCTCTGCTGCCGATTGCTGAGACGGGGAGGGGGCAGAGACAAGCCTCTCCACAGTTGCATGGTGTAAGATCTGTAGGAGTTCTATTCGCCTCTCTGCTGCTGACTGCTGAGACAAGGGTGGGGGTGAAGACGTGAGGGGGGTGCCTCAGCTGCAGGAGAGGTGCAGGATCTGTAGGAGGAGTTCTGTCGTCCTCTCTGCTGCCGATTGCTGAGACGGGGAGGGGGCAGAGACAAGCCTCTCCACAGTTGCATGGTGAAGTGCAGGATCTGTAGGAGTTCTGTCTCGCCTCTCTGCTGCTGACTGCTGAGACAAGGGTGGGGGTGGAGACGAGGGGGGTGCCTCAGCTGCAGGAGAGGTGCAAGGGCCACATGAAAAGGCCTGGTGGGCCAGATTCGGCCAACAGGTCTCGTGTGCTCACTGAAAATACAGTGTACGTGCCCTTTAAATGTAACGTTTGCTCTTTCCATCAGACACTTTCGTCATCCGCCTCTTTGATCGGAGCGTAGACTTGGCGCAATTTTCCGAAGACACGCCCCTTTATCCCGTGTGCCGAGCCTGGCTGCGCAACGCGCCTGGAGCAAAGGTCCCCGAGCGCCCATCAACGCCCACGCCATCGGAAGAGGTAGGACAGCACGGCATCACCGAGAACTGGCTGTTCTATTGCCAGATCCCCTACAAGCCGTTATTTTGTTCAGTGCATTTGAACCTCTCGAGTCTCTGAAAAGTACCGTCCTGTCCCAACGCACCACCAACTGGAACCCTCTGCTAGAATGGAAACCTCACACAGAGGTCCCGGGCACAGCAGCGGGCACCATGGTGGAAATATGGAGAGAGGCTTTGGAATGAATTATTTCATCCTCAAGTCATAAAGGCTGTAAGGGCAGCACAGTGGCTAAATGGTTAGCCCTTCCACCTTCGTTCGTTCGAATCCAAGCCATGGCACTTCCTGCCTGGAGTTTGCATGTTCTCCCTGTGCCTGCGTGGGTTTCCTCCCACACTCCAAAGACATGCTGGGAGGTGAATTGGCTCCTGTCTAAACTGACCCTAGCATGTGTATGTATGGGCGGCACAGTGGCTTAGTGGTTCGTACTTCTGCCTTGCAGTAAATGGGTCATGGGTTCGATTCCCAACCATGGCGCCTCCTGCATGGAGTTTGCATGTTCTCCCTGTGCCTGCGTGAGTTTCCTCCCACACTCCAAAGACATGCTGGGAGGTGAATTGGCTCCTGTCTAAATTGACCCTAGTATGTGTATGTATGGGCGGCACAGTGGCTTAGTGGTTCGTACTTCTGCCTTGCAGTAATTGGGTCATGGGTTCGATTCCCAACCATGGCGCCTCCTGCATGGAGTTTGCATGTTCTCCCTGTGCCTGCGTGGGTTTCCTCACACACTCCAAAGACATGCTGGGAGGTGAATTGGCTCCTGTCTAAATTGACCCTAGTATGTGTATGTATGGGCGGCACAGTGGCTTAGTGGGTAGCACTTCTGCCTTGCAGTAATTGGGTCATGGGTTCGATTTCCCAACCATGGCGCCTCCTGCATTGAGTCTGCATGTTCTCCCTGTGTTCGCGTGGGTTTCCTCCGGGTACTCCGGTTTCTTCACTCCAAAGACATGCTGGTAGGTGAATTGGCTCCTGTCTGTACATTGTCCTAGTTTCATCCCTGGCCATGCGGGATTTCCTGCATGGTGGGGGTTGGGGAAAGACCTGGCAACCTCCCCTGTAAAAATAATTGCTAAGAGAATTCATGGAAAAAGTCGCTTACGAGTGACAGTCCATGCAATCACCAAGGGTAGGATACAACTGAATGGATAGATTGATAGATGTGTATGTGAGAATGTGAGGACCTTAGATTGTATGCTCCTCGGGGGCGGGGCCTGATGTGAATGTACAATATATATATGTGAAGTGCTGCGTAAAATTGACGGCGCTATATAAGTGCCTGAAATAAATAATAAATAAGTCTAAATGAGTTCATAATTAAAACAAAAATTGGATCAGCTGCTTCCAGACTCCTAATTATGTCACCTTCTAAAATGACTGGGTGCCAAACGCCAGGTAGGGGGCTGGGCAGCACAGTGGCTAAGTGGTTAGCCCTTTCACCTGGCAGTACTCGGGTCGTTGGTTCGAATCCCAACCACAGCACCACCTGTCTGAAGTTTGCATGTTCTCCCTGTGCCTGCGTGGGTTTCCTCCGGGGTACTTCGGTTTCCTCCCACACTCCAAAGACATGCTGGTAGGTGAATTGTCTCCTGTCTAAATTGTCCCTAGTATGTGTATGTATGAATGTGAGTTAGGGACCTTAGATTGTACGCCCCTTGAGGGTTAGGGACCTTAGATTGTACGCCCCTTGAGGGTTAGGGACCTTAGATTGTACGCCCCTTGAGGGTTAGGGACCTTAGATTGGACGCCCCTTGAGGGTTAGGGACCTTAGATTGGACGCCCCTTGAGGGTTAGGGACCTTAGATTGGACGCCCCTTGAGGGTCAGGGACCTTAGATTGTACGCCCCTTGAGGGTTAGGGACCTTAGATTGTACGCCCCTTGAGGGTTATGGGGACCTTAGATTGTACGCCCCTTGAGGGTTAGGGACCTTAGATTGTACGCCCCTTGAGGGTTAGGGACCTTAGATTGTACGCCCTTGAGGGTTAGGGACCTTAGATTGTACGCCCCTTGAGGGTTAGGGACCTTAGGGCCCCTTGAGGGTTAGGGACCTTAGATTGTACGCCCCTTAGAGGGTCAGGGACCTTAGATTGTACGCCCCTTGAGGTCAGGGACCTTAGATTGTACGCCCCCCTTGAGGGTCAGGGACCTTAGATTGGACGCTCCTTGAGGGTCAGGGACCTTAGATTGGACGCCCCTTGAGGGTTAGGGACCTTAGATTGGACGCCCCTTGGGGGTTAGGGACCTTAGATTGGACGCCCCTTGAGGGGTTAGGGACCTTAGATTGGACGCCCCTTGAGGGTTAGGGACCTTAGATTGGACGCCCCCTTGAGGGTTAGGGACCTTAGATTGGACGCCCCTTGAGGGTTAGGGACCTTAGATTGGACGCCCCTTGAGGGTTTAGGGACCTTAGATTGGACGCCCCTTGAGGGTTAGGGACCTTAGATTGGACGCCCCTTGAGGGTTAGGGACCTTAGATTGGACGCCCCTTGAGGGTTAGGGACCTTAGATTGGACGCCCCTTGAGGGTTAGGGACCTTAGATTGGACGCCCCTTGAGGGTTAGGGACCTTAGATTGGACGCCCCTTGAGGGTTAGGGACTGATGTGAATGTAGAATATATATGTGAGCGCTGCGTAAAAAGACGGCGATATATAAGTACCTGAAAATAAATAATAAATAATTGTCCTCTGCCCCGCACACCAAACAACACCAGGGGAGATAAGCTGTGGCAGCACTTAAACGCTGGGACTGCCTCTGCTGACGCGTTTCGCGTTGAAGACCGGGCTTCCTTTTTCTTGGATTCAGATCTTTGATACTTTCAGCTTTGTATCTAAGAAGAGCATTAGAGCTGCTTCCCCCACCTCCCCGCCCTATAGTTAGAACTACTGCTACAGAGGTGGCAGGGCTGCGCAAAATCTTGTATATGTGATTTTTTGCATTTCCTTGAGGGTTAGGGGATTGGGGTAGGGGGCGCGCCATTGGCAGTTACCAACAGATGTCAATCGCCAGGTCCCGACCGGAGATTCCCCGCCAGCACCCGGCGATCGCGGAGGAACAGTGACAGGGGAGAGACTTGTGTGTAAACAACACAGGTCTCTCTCCCCCAGCAGCAAGGACATGCTGCTGTGTACTTCTCTGCACAGCAAATAAATACACAGCATGTTTACACAGTAAATCAGCACACAGTTAACCCTTTGATCGCCCCAGATGTTAACCCCTTCCTGCCCAGTGCCATTAGTACGGTGTCAGTGCTTTTTATTAGCACTGATCACTGTATTGGTGTCACTGGGGATGTCAGTGGCAGTCAGTTCCCCTCCCCAGTGTCAGAATGCCCTCCGCAGTCCCGCTATAAGTCGCTGATTGCCGCCATTACTAGTATAACATTTTTTTTTAATATATACCGCCATTTGTAGAAGCTATAACTTTCACATAAACCAATTGATTTATATGTATTGGGATTTTTTTTTTTTTTTTTTAAGCAAAGACATGGAAGCAGAATCAGGGGCGGACTGACAACTCATGGGGCCCCCGGGCAATAGGGGATCATGGGGCCCCTGTGTCGTCGCCCAAACTCAAACCACACGTATGCTCTTTCCATCAGACACTTTCGTCATCCGCCTCTTTGATCGGAGCGTAGACTTTTCTGAAGACACGCCCCTTTATCCCGTGTGCAAGCCTGGCTGCGCAACGCACCTGGAGCAAAGGTCCCCAAACGCCCACCATTACTAGTATAAAAGGGGTGGACTGACAACTCATGGGGCCCCCGGGCAATAGGGGATCATGGGGCCCCTGTGTCCTCGCCCCCACACTCAAACCACACCCAAAAAAGCCTATGAAAGGCACCAGGGGCATCTCATGGGGCCCCCTCATTGACCCCGGACCCTCAGGCAAAGCCCGAATGGTCAGTCCACCCCTGAACAAAATACATTTTGGCCTAAATTCATGACGAAATTTAGATTTTTTTTCCCGTTTTTTTTTTTTTACTGGATGTGTTTTATAGCAAAAAGTCAAAAATATTTTTTTTTTTTTTTTTTTTCGAAACTTGTCGGGCCTTTTCTTTGTTTTATAGCGCAAAAAATTAAAAACCGCAGAGGGAAATCAAATACCACCGAAAAAAAGCTCTTTGTGTGGGGGTTGACATAAATTTCATTGGAGTGCAGCATTGCATGACCGCGCAATTGTCAGTTAAAGTAACGCAGCGCCGTATCGCAAAAAAATGGCCTGGTCAGGAAGGGGGGTAAATCCTCGGGGGGGGCAAGTGGTTAAAATCGTTTATTTTTGTGAGCTGATTTGTTGTCTTTTCTGTTTCTAGGGAGATGTGGTGAATGGGAGCTCTCAGAACATCTACCACCTACCTCCTCCCATACCCTGTCCTGTGTCAGAGAGTGGAGACCCGGTTAACTTGAGAATCCCATCCCCCGTCCCTCGGGATGAAGACCAGCTGAACCTCAACATAGTAAGATATTAGAAACCTTTATTTTTCCAACAAAGCTATAAAAAAAGGAAGATTTAGGGCAAGGAATTATTAACCACCTCCCGTCTGGCCGTTGCATATAAACGGTCCGGACAATGGCATTGCAGGGTCGGGTGGCCGTTTATAAACTGCCTCCCCGCCACTTGCTTGTGCATGCACCCTGGGGAGCGCGCAGCCACGCAATCCGGTGCCCGCTGTGTCCTCCGGACACAGTGGAACACCGATCGTCGAACAGGACCTCTGTGTGAGGTCCCGATCATGTGATCACTGATTGGCCAATCAGTGATCACATGCAGAGTAGTAAGCAAGAGGTCACTTCTGACATCATTGCTTACTACGTGTGAAATCTGTGAATGATCACAGAGGTCACATGGTACAAAGCTATTCACAACAGCCTTGTACCATGTGACAAGCTGTGACCAATCACAGCTCTCACAGTATTTCTCAATGGCTGCAAGAATGCAACCAGAGAGGAGAAATGATTGCTTTTACACCATAAAGGCTGTAAAAGCAATCAGTGTAAAAAAAAAAAATAAATCTTCATCACCCCCCACAAGTAGTACAGTGTCACCATGGTGACACTGTACTGCTAGGGTGACAGTATGTAAAAAAAAAAAAAGGAAAAAAAAAAAAAACATAAATAATATAAAAATGTTAAAACAAATGTTTAAAAATTATTATTTTTGGTTATAAACTAATTTGGGTATTTTTTTTTTACTAAAAAGATAACGAAATACATTTTGGAATTTTGATGAAATATTATTTATTTGCAAAATTTTATAAGAAAAACACTTTTTTTTTTTTTTTTTTTCCAAAATTTTTGGACATTTTCATTTACATAGAAAAAAAATAAAAATCCCAGCGGTGAATAAATACCACCAAAATAAAGCTTTATCTGTCTCAAAAAAATGCTACAAAATTCATATGGGTACAGTGTTGCATGAACCGCGCAATTGTCATTCAAAGTGTGATAGCACTGAAAGCTGAAAATTGGCCTGGACTGGAGGAGGGGGAAAGTGTCCGGACTGGAAGGGGGGGGGAAAGTGTCCGGACTGGATGGGGGGGGGGAAAGCGTCTGGACTGGAAGGGGGGGGAAAGTGTCCGGACTGGAAGGGGGGGGGGGGGGAAAGTGTCCAGACTGGAAGGGGGGGGAAAGCGTCCGGACTGGAAGGGGGGGAAAGCGTCCGGACTGGAAGCGTCCGGACTGGAAGGGGGGGGGGAAAGTGTCCGGACTGGAAGGGGGGGAAAGCGTCCGGACTGGAAGGGGGGGGGGAAAGCGTCCGGGACTGGGGGGGGGGGGGGAAAGCGTCCGGACTGGAAGGGGGGGGGGGAAAGCGTCCGGACTGGGGGGGGGGGGAAAGCGTCCGGACTGGAAGGGGGGGGGAAAGCGTCCGGACTGGAAGGGGGGGGGAAAGCGTCCGGACTGGAAGGGGGGGGGGAAAGTGTCCGGACTGGAAGGGGGGGGGAAAGCGTCCGGACTGGGAGGGGGGGGGGGAAAGCGTCCGGACTGGAAGGGGGGGGGGAAAGCGTCCGGACTGGAAGGGGGGGGGGAAGCGTCCGGACTGGAAGGGGGGGGAAAGCGTCCGGACTGGAAGGGGGGGGAAAGCGTCCGGACTGGAAGGGGGGGGGGGAAAGCGGTCCGGACTGGAAGGGGGGGGGAAAGTGTCCGGACTGGAAGGGGGGGGGGGAAAGCGTCCGGACTGGAAGGGGGGGGGGGGGGGGAAAGCGTCCGGACTGGAAGGGGGGGGGGGGAAAGCGTCCGGACTGGAAGCGGGGGGACTGGGGGGGAAGGGGGGGGGAAAGCGTCCGGACTGGAAGGGGGGGGGGGGAAAGCGTCCGGACTGGAAGGGGGGGGGGGGGAAGCGTCCGGACTGGAAGGGGGGGGGGGGGGGAAGCGTCCGGACTGGAAGGGGGGGGGGGGAAAGCGTCCGGACTGGAAGGGGGGGGGGGGGGAAGCGTCCGGACTGGAAGGGGGGGGGGGAAAGCGTCCGGACTGGAAGGGGGGGGGGAAAGTGTCCGGACTGGAAGGGACTGGAAGGGGGGGAAGCGTCCGGACTGGAAGTGGTTAAAGCAGAGATTTGGTTTGTGCTCCTCAGATGCAGTGTAGTTCCACTTGAAAACCGATCGGTGAGTTGGGTTTGGCTGGTGATTTGCCTGCTGGAGAATATTTTTGTGTTTCTTACATCATTAATCCCTCTCTGTTCTATCAGCCCGCAGAGCAGACCCCCAGCATGACCACCCTCATCTGTCGGAACATGGAGAGATGGAAGAAGGTCCGACAGAGGTGAGACTCAGCTTCTGCAGAGCATGTCGTGTTTCTATTTTTATAATGTGTCTTTGTGTGGAGGCAGCCATCTTGGTAGATGCTCCGTTTTTTGTTTTTTTCTGAAGTCAGAGGTGTACCCCCGGGGTCTGGTGGGGTAATGAGGAAGATGTAGCAGTAGAGGTAAAGGAAGCACAGACCACAGTATAGATCCAGCAGAAACATCTTTATTTTTTTGAATAAAGGTCAAGTCTACAGGGCCCGTCACTCTACAGGGCCCGTCACTCTACAGGGCCCGTCACTCTACAGGGCCCGTCACTCTACAGGGCCCGTCACTCTACAGGGCCCGTCACTCTACAGGGCCCGTCACTCTACAGGGCCCGTCACTCTACAGGGCCGTCACTCTACAGGGCCCGTCACTCTACAGGGCCCGTCACTCTACAGGGCCCGTCACTCTACAGGGCCGTCACTCTACAGGGCCCGTCACTCTACAGGGCCCGTCACTCTCTACAGGGCCCGTCACTCTCTACAGGGCCATCTCTCTCTACAGGGCCATCTCTCTCTACAGGGCCATCTCTCTCTACAGGGCCATCTCTCTCTACAGGGCCATCTCTCTCTACAGGGCCATCTCTCTTACAGGGCCATCTCTCTCTACAGGGCCATCTCTCTCTACAGGGCCATCTCTCTCTACAGGGCCATCTCTCTCTACAGGGCCATCTCTCTCTACAGGGCCATCTCTCTCTACAGGGCCATCTCTCTCTACAGGGCCATCACTCTACAGGCCCATCACTCTACAGGCCCATCACTCTACAGGCCCATCACTCTACAGGCCATCACTGGGCAAATTTTACCCTTCTTCCCATTACATTACCCCCCCCCCCCCCTTCAGTTCATCCTCCACCTTGGCTAAATGGTGGGCAGCACAGTGGCTAAATGGCGGGCAGCACAGTGGATAAATGGTTAGCATTTCCACCTGGCAGTACTCGGGTCGTTGATTTTAATCTCAACCACAACACCACCTGCCTGGAGTTTGCATGTTCTCCCTGTGCCTGTGCGGGTTTCCTCTGGGTACTCCGGTTTCCTCCAACACTCCCAAAGACACGCTGGTAGGTGAATTGGCTCCTGTCTAAATTGGCCCTAGTATGTGTATGAATGTGAGTTAGGGACCTTAGATTGTACGCTCCTCGGGGGCGGGGACTGATGTGAATGTACAATATATATGTAAAGCGCTGCGTAAAATTGACGGCGCTATATAAGTACCTGAAATAAATAAAATTAAGCCTGAAAGACGTTTCCTT